ATCATTCATTGGAGAGCGTTCATCAAATTCACCGTGCATGTTATCAACTTCACTCTCATTAACTTCTTCTTCAAATGGGGTGCTTTGCAAAAATTCCTTGCCACCATCATCTTGAATCTCAATTTGAGTCTCAATCTTATCTTCTTTCTCATTCAAATGGTTGGATTCAAGACACTCCTCAAGCACTTCATTTTCAAGATTTTCCCTTACATTCTCATCTCCATCAACCTCATCCCCTTCATTAGATAAGGGAAACTCTTGTTGAACCTCTTCGTTGGACAATGAATCTTGAATCGGCTCTTGAGTTGCCCAACTTTGTACTTGAGCCATCATGTTTTCCGATTGAGTTTGTAACTCATCCACTCGTGAAGACGTTTGCATTATCAAACTCATCAACTTGGACATCATCTCGGGCTCTTGATCAAGGGATTGAAATCCTTGTTGAGGCTCTTGGTAAGAGGGCTCTTGAAATTGGCACAAATGTTGGTAGTTGGGAGCCAATGTATAGCAATTTTCGGCATCATGTGCTCCTCCACAAATGGTGCACCATAAAGGTTGTGGCATGGTAAATGGTGGTGTGCCTCCTTGAAAAGCTTCTTGACTCATGTAGGCAAGATTGAGATGTGGTTCTTGCTGTTCCATTCCTCCATATGTTTGGCTCATATTACAATTCATTTCGTATCCATAAGGAGGAATTTGGAATGGTGGTAAGGATCTTTGAAACTCATACCCATACATATTTGAGCAATTAGCACTTGAGCACATAAAGCAAATAAAAACAAAGGAAAAAAAATGGTCTAGTCTCCTAGAATAGTCATTCACCAATGTTAACTACCACAAAACAATCAAAACCAAGACATCCCCGGCAACGGCGCCAAATTTGATGAGGACAATTTTTCACACATCCATCAAGTATCAAATCACAGTATAGAGTTTAGATATCGTTCCACTGGAGATGGCTCTTGTAATGTTAGGAATTGATGTAAAGAGGAGTTAAGCACAAGCTAAAACTACCCTTTTAGAAGCTAGACCTATCGATAAAGAGTTGGTTTGATATGATTAAGCTAATAACAAATAAGACAAGTAAAACAAAGGACCGGGACTTGGTTGATTCAAGCTAAGATGTCAAATATTGTACTAAAGATTAGGGAATTAAACAAGGCATAGGGTAAGTGAGATGCACAAAAGTGTCCGAATACCACTCTCGTAGCTATTTGGACTTGCAACCTAACATTAAACTCCACTCTCGTGGCAATTCAACCCAAGGTTGCCCAAGCAAGAACACAAGGCATAAATTCTCCTTAATACCCGAAATACTCTCGTAGTGGGCATTAAGTGTGTGAATGTGTGGCTAGTGTACAAGCTCTACTCTCATAGCAACAAACACACTCCAAATCAAGCATATAATTGGGATCCAACAATCATACACAAATTTCTCAACAAACCCATTTCACACAACAACCCTAGATCACCCAAATAATCCCCTTTATGCAATACAACTCAAATAGGCATCAATAGCAAGAAATCAAACCAAATCCTAGTCCCAAAAAACTTAGCTACTCATAATATAACAATAGATACACAATATTAAAAGAGTATTTGAAAGCATAGATGAAAAGTAAAGAGAAGAGATAAATAGAAAACTTCTCTATTGAAGTCTTGAAATCCAAGAGTTGCAATGTTCTTGAGCTTGGAAATGGAAAGGAACCACAAATCTACACTAATCTAAGCTATTCTAAACTAACCCTAACTAGAGAAATGAAAGGGAAATGAAAGATGTAATGAAAGATATGTTTTGGAGTGGAAAAATCCCCTTAAAAGGGTAAAAAACGGGCTGCAAAAAGTTGCAGAGGACTAGCCACGGGTGTGGCCACGGGCGTGGCTTCACCCGTGGCCAGAAATGCAGGGCACACTGCCCAGTGGCCACGGGTGTGGCCACGGCCGTGGCCAGACCCGTGGCCACAGGCAGTGTGCACTGCCTGTGCACTAAGGTCGTATTCTAGGCCAGTTTTCACCCTCAAAACCTTTGAATTAGCGTTTGTGGTCTTCATCAAAGTTGTAGTTCTTTAAGTTAGCTTTCCAATGACATAAAAAATACTTAATTTGGACACTCCTACTCAGAGATATGGCCAAAATACGGAGACTGCACCAATCTGGGCGAGAAATGCCACCTTACTATCTTTTGTTTTGCCTTTGCATTGAATTGCCTATATCATCAAGACCACTAAGGCACAAATATTTGGCACATGAAAGAGTGTTGTTCAATCTTCTTTTCTTCATTTTGCCTCACAAAAATATCCTCATGCTATGATGACTTGAAATCTTGATCAAATAACTCAATGTTTGGCTCAAAACATCATTTTCTTGTCAAGTCACCTAAGCAAAAACAATCATTCCATAAGTTACCAAACTGGCTCCATAATATAATGATTAACCAGTAAAAATACCAAAATGTGCAAGGAAAAAACATTAGTTTTAGACATTCATCACACAACAATTTGCACTATAAGGCACAATAATGTGCTCTGGAAGAAGAGACAATGTGCACTGAAAATCTGGAAAGTCAAAATGTGCATGGTAAGGTAGAAAATATGAAATAATTATTGAAAAAAAAACTAAATTTAATGCATAATCTTCAACACAAATCATAAACGATCACAATATTCAACTAAAATTTTTAATTAGTACACTGATTCATTCAAGATCAAATGCTCTTTAAAATTATATATATAACACCTACGATCTGAAAGGTTGAAGGTACAACAATGTGCAATGTAAGGCACAACAATAGATGATATTACATCTTATTTTTCACCTAATGTTTCTTTTTCACTTGATCCTTTATATATATATATATATATATATATATATATATATATATATATATATATATATATATAACACAATAGGGTAGCTCAAGTGACAAATAAGCTTTTTTTGTGGGGGAGAATTTCGGGATAACTCAGGTTCAATTCATACAAGTGACGATTCCTTTTGGGTCAGCTATAGACATGAACAGAAAAAGACCTGAAATAATTATTTTCAGACACTTTATGACACCGATCACACAGGAACATAACCCCATATATAGAAACACACTGATTGAAAGATTAATTTCATAATCAATGCATGCACATGCATATATGGTTGTTAACTTGTTAAGTAATTTTCATTTCTACATTGTTTATATATTAATTGAAAGTTTCAATGTCATTTGCGGGAGTAGTTGCGTGCACTCAAAGTGTGATTATAATTTGGTCGGCAACATTAGTTATTTGGACTACCCATAAGGTTATTGAGATCAGAAAATTCTTGACTGGTGGATCAAATAAGCTCTGAAATCTATAAAAAATTAATTGTTTTTTTGAGCTAAAAAAAAAAAAGAAAAAAAAACTTCATATTAACCATTGAACTCTTAATAAAATGCAATTAAAATCTTTTTCCCTATAAATTACATGAATGCCACATCAACTAACATAACTTTTACTTTTCTTTAAATAAAGAAAAGTATTTTTAAAAAATCACAATAGTTTATGTGTCGTCCATGTATTAAAAAAAAGTTCACATAAAAGTCGCATCAACATAAATACATAATTTTGTGTCGGGATGTAGGGCCTTTAGAGTTGTGGTTCAATCTTTTGGAAGAATAATTTGTAATAATAATAGATAATTTACAAGTAAAAAGTCCTAATTACACTTCTTTAAGAGTTTGAGAGTTAATATAAACCTTTTTATAGTTCAAGTGTCACTATTGGAAATTATGGAATTTCTGACCACCTGAAAGTAATCTTAAATCAAGTCGAAAGCAAAAAATGATCGAAAATAGCAACAAAGGTTTTTCCGGATACCACAAGTGATCGAAACAAGGCTTTCGACTTGATTTAAGATCACTTTCAGGTGGTCGGAAATTTCATAATTTCCAGTAGTGTGTGAAATTAAATTTTTCTAAATAGTTAAGATTTATTATTTAACATTTTTCTTTCTTTTTATCTATATATTACAGCAAGAAAAATGTTTTAAAACTATCTAGTGGAGAGTGATGTAGTTAAATAGGTCACATAAATATTTAACTCTCGAGTTATTCCACTTCAAGTATATATAAACTTAATCTTGAATTGAAGTTATGGTTATGTTTATTTATGACTCGATTTTTAGTTATTCTAAAGTGATGATTTCTATTTCACTAATATTTCGTTAGATTTGAATGAAAAACCGATAAAAGGAAAATAAACTTAAATGACATTGTCTAACATAAAAATTTGATTTAGTTTTCTCTTATTCATGAGATAGACAAGTCCAACAAGTGTATAGTCGAATCCTAGTTAACGTTTAATGATTAAGTTTTTATATTCAATAAAAATCAACAAAAAAGTTATAATTATAGAATTAAACAACTTAAACATGTTAATTTACTTCACCTAGCACATCTACCCTTGACAACCTAGTCCAGTTGATCAACTTCCCATTCAAGATTCAGTTGGTAATGGACATTAATTTAATGATGAATAAATTTCTCAAGTTTAATTAAATGCTTTGCCCGCACGGATTAACTCAATAGACACTGCTGGAAATTATGGAATTTCCGACCACCTGAAAGTGATCTTGTATCAAGTCGAAAGCAAAAAGTGATCGAAAATAGCAATAAAGATTTTTACTGATACCAAAAGTGGTTGGAACAAGACTTTCGACTTGATTTAAGATCATTTTCAGGTGGTCAGAAATTTCATAATTTCCAACAGTGAGGTTAGGTGACAGTATTTAGAAAAAGAGACAAAAGTTCGAACTTTTGACAGCGCCAGTGTGAGAATTATATATGCTTTGTAAGCATCGCAATTGGTCTTGTCTGCTGAGTCATTGAGTCACCATAATTTACATCCATCCAAATGTTCTGTCGGACCGGAATTGAGGATTCAACCTTTTGGAGAAGTTTAATTAAATAATATCACTTAATCAATGTGGACACTATATAAATATATGAAGTTTCCAGTGCAAATTGTATTGAGCCCTTCTTGATCTTCTCACCATCTTTCATTTCTCTTTAATTTTCTTGCTTAATTGGTTCAGCTATGGAGTTGGGCAGCGCTCTCCAGTTTCTTGACAACACCACCATTCTTGTCACCGGCGCCGCCGGCTTTCTTGCAAAAAGTAGTACACTAAGCTACCCGCCGCCGGGAACCCACCCATATTAATTATAATATATTTCTTGGATTTTTTTTTAAAAAAAATATGTTTTAGTTTGTTGTTTATTTTGAAATGTGTATATATGCAGTTTTTTTGGAGAAAATACTCAGGGTTCAGCCAAATGTGAAGAAGCTCTACCTTCTACTAAGAGCAGCAGACACAGAGGCAGCTTTACAACGTTTCAACACTGAGGTACATGCAACCATGCTTCTCACACCTAACCAAATAAACTTCATTTTAGTTATTTTTATTTGTAGTTCCGGCAAGGGAATTTTTATTTTATATAAAAAGTAGTATATATATAGGTTCAAATGAGGATAGGGCTTCCCATGCGACACTGCAGATTCTATCATTAAGTATGCATAAATGCACCACACAGTGTTTGAAAATGCACCACACAAATGCATCCACCTAGTGCATTTCTGAACACTTTATGATGCATTTATGCATACCTAATGGTGAGTGACCACATCACACGAAAAGTCATGTTTATACAGAAACCAGACCCTATATACACATACACTCACACACACTCTCTCTGTGTAAGAGCTAATTAATTAATATTTTCTTATCAAATAGTATAAAATTTGATATAAATAGTGTTACACAATAAACTAGAGAATTATTTATATTATGAGTACATTGGATCTATAATCTATGATAAGATTTAATTTTATGTACACTTCGATTTTCTAGGTGCAATAATAATAATAATAATAATAATAATAATAATAATAATAATAATAATAATAATTTATTGTATGAACCATGCATATTGAATTGATTTTTTGTTCAGATTATTGGGAAGGAAATATTCCAAATCCTGAAAGAGAAGTGTGGGAATTCCGTAATTTCAGAGAAGGTAACAGTTGTAGCTGGCGACGTTTCGTATGAGAATTTAGGGGTTAAGGATTCCCATTTGCTGACTCGAATGTTGAGTGAAGTAGATGCTGTCGTTAATCTAGCTGCAACCACTAAGTTTGATGAAAGGTATTTTCTACCAACCCTATTTTTATTTTTTATACATCCTTTTATTCATAAATAAACTAAATAAATAAATAAATAAATATATATATATATATGTACACACACAGTGGCGGAGCCACAATGGGGGCAGTGGGGGCTGCTACTCCATATAAACTGAATATATATTAAACATACCAACAATTAAGCAAAGTTAGGTTTGATTGAGATGGTTAAGCTGTTATTTGACCTTATAATTTGAGTGAAAGGTCAGTAGTTCGAATCTTAGAGTTGTTTTTTTGTGAGGTTTAGTTACCTTCCATTTGTACTGATGTAGTTGTTTAATAGTTATGTTAATTACTAAGGACGAATACATTTGCTAAAAAATCGTTAATGTTAATTGGTATAGTTGTTTATTTGGAATAATTATTTAATGTTAGTTAGCATATTGTTGTTTAACAATTTTATTCGTATTTGAACATTTTTTAATTCATTTAACTTTTGCATTTTCGCCCCCACTCAACGTAAATCCTGGCTCCGCCACTATATATATATATATATATATATATATATATATATATATATATATATATATATATATATATGTCAACTTAAATGCGACCATACCTTAACGTGCGGTCGGTGCAGCCACACCATTTGGTATGTAAAAACGCATCAATTGTGTTAGAAAACATACAACAATGAAATGCAGCAATGCACCATAAAATGCACCACACACCTAAAAAAATACACCATACCTTCTCACACCTAATTGTGCGTTTTCGAACACTGTGTAGTGCGTTCATACATACCTAATAGTGCATTTTGTGGTGATGCGTACTTAATGGTGCGTTTTTTGGTACATTAATGCATTTTTTTGTTATGCGTTTCTAACATTATTGATGCGTGTTTGCATAATATATATATACGAGTATATAATAAATTTTATTAAACAATAACCTTCTTCTGACAATGTTTGCAGATACGATGTGGCACTGGGAGTTAACACCATGGGACCTAAGCACGTATTAAACTTTGCCAAAAAATGCCCTAAATTACGAATTCTTCTTCATGTATCTACTGGTTAGTTCTAATTTACCTTCTAAGCAAATTCCCTCCTAATTTCACCTCCTTGACATGGCACTATTTAATTAAATACATTAATCTTTTATTAAAAATTTTGGGCCGGGGGTCTGTCAATTCTTGGCACCCGATAATTACAAGGCATGTTAGGAGGTGAAAAATTAGAAGAGATAGAAAGCATTTTTCTTTTCAATTTTACGCAGGTTGTCACGAAATAATCAACTAAAATTGTATGTACGAGCATTTTATATTTTACGAAAAAGCCTATAAGCGTTATCCGAAAATGTACTATGGGTGAAACTCACATTGTAATCTACCACCCTGGTCTGTATATAATCACAAAAAGGTAAATCAGTCTAGATTGTCCATAGTTGACCGGTTCAAACCAAGAATAAAAAAAAAACTAGTTCTTGTCAATACCTTCTCAGTCAAACCTATCACATAGCGTCTTTCTAGTGTGGTCACTGTTGGAAATTATGAAATTTTTGACTACCTGAAAGTGATCTTAAATCAAGTCGAAAGCCTTGTTCCGACCACTTTTGGTATCCGGAAAAACCTTTATCCACTACTGGAAATTATAGAATTTCCGACCACCTAAAAGTGATCTTAAATCAAGTTGAAAGCAAAAAGTGGTCGGAAATAGCAACAAAGGTTTTTCCGGATACCAAAAGTGGTCGGAACAAGACTTTCGACTTGATTTAAGATCACTTTCAGGTGGTCGGAAATTTCATAATTTCCAGCAGTGATCGCTATTTCCGACCACTTTTTGCTTTCGATTTGATTTAAGATCACTTTCAGGTGGTCGGAAATTGCATAATTTCTAGCAGTGGGTTTATCTCTCTTGTATGGTTTGTGTACTATTACACATGAGCAGAATTTACTTAGTGTAGACCTCGAGTAGTGGTTGTGGATCTCACTCGTCACACCAAAAAAGAAAAAAAAAAAATGCTTTGGGAGGAGTTTCGAGTGGGTGAAACATGATTTTCGTACTTGCACGGTTATGAGTTTGATTTCCACACATGGTCTTTCTAGTGCGGTGTAGCTAAACTAAAAAATAAAATAAAATAGAAACAAAAGAAAAAAGTCTTAGAGGATTTGGTGGTTAAGTTATGGGTGATTTTCTTATTAGTGTGATCTTGTTCACCAAATTGCAACCATCATTCTATGTTTCTTATATAAGCTAAGGTTCTTAATTGGAAAGTGATTTATGAGTAATTTGTAGTTGTAACGCTCGAGTCTTTCATGGGCAAGAAATGTGACCAACAAATGTCAACGGGATCCAATAATAAAATATAATAAATAATTACACCTCCATAATAACATATAACGGTTAATTAACATATAATTAAATAATTTATTTGTAATCTTATTTTCATCATATTATATATGTCAACCATTTTGAGTTGTTAATTTTTTTTTTTTGAATGCTAATGATTCTATTATAATTTAGTATCTGTTCATAACTACTTTCTCAACCTAATGAAGCAAAAAAGAGCCAATAACGCCTCTTAATTTTTTTTGAGTTATAAATCTAATTTTCTTCCCTTAATTGTTCTTGAGTTATAATATACTCCATCTATTTTAATTTTACAAATATGATCCTTTAATCATTAAAAAAAGTCATAAATTTAGTCAATCAAATAATTGAGATGTTAAACTTGGGTTGTATGAGAAAATAAAGAATGGATTAGAGTTATTAATATGCCCTCATAAGGTTCTAGATACAAATGAAATTTGACATCTCAGTTCGGTAAATGGTTGAATTTACAACTCGATCATTTATCAATTAAAGGATCATATTTATAAAAAATTGAAATCGAAAATCAAACTTATAATTTTAGAACAATTGAGGATAAAAAGTGTGATTTTCCTTTATTATATTATTGATATGTTTATCTGTATATGAATTGAATTACAATTGTAGTTTCAATTTTTTTTTAAAAAAAGATGTAATATATATATATATATATATATATATATATATATATATATATCACTACTGGAAATTCTGAAATTTCCGACCACCTGAAAGTGATCTTAAATCAAGTTGAAAGTCTTGTTCCGCCCACTTTTGGTATCCGGAAAAACCTTTGTTGCTATTTCCGACCACTTTTTGGACTTTTTGGTATCAACTTAATTTAAGATCATTTTCAGGTGGTCGGAAATTTCAGAATTTCCAGTAGTGTATATATATATATATATATATATATATATATATATATATATATATATATATATATATATATATATATATATATATATATATATATATATATATATATATATATATATATATATATATATATATATATATATATACTAGTCTTTTCTATGCGTGATGCGCAAAAACATATGCCCAATATTTTTTTTTTTTTTTAAAAACTAACAAATTCCTACTAGGACTATGTGGTCTAATGGTATCCAGGTTGGACTTTCATTTGGAAGGTTGTGATTTCGAGCTTCAGTGGAGGCGTTATTGGCTCTTTGTACTTCAGTAGGTTGAGAAAATAATAAAAAAGATAACGGAAGTTATAACGGTAGGGGTATTTTTGTCCAAAAAATTATATAGTACAACTCTAAAAGCACAATGTACAAAATGATTAGCATTAAAAACATGGACATAAATGAGGGATATAACTTTGATTGAGACTTATTATGTTTTTAGATATATATATATATATATATATATATATATATATATACATATATATATATATATATATATACAGTCATCATTTAAGTTATTAACATAGTGAATATATAATTTTTCAGCATATGTATCTGGTATAAAGGAAGGGTTAATAGCAGAGAGCCCATACAAAATGGGAGAGGCACTAAATGGGAAATCTGGTCTTGACATTGATGAAGAGAAGAGGGTGATGGAAGAAGCATTAAGAGATCTAACTCGTGACAATGCTTCACAAGAATCCATCACCTCAGCCATGAAAGATTTGGGAATTCAAAGGTACTTCAAATCTCTTATGTTATACCTAACTAAAGTTTAATTTGCCACATTTCAAACAAAAAAAAAATATATAGTTTAATTTACCAAGTAGCTTGTAGCTCAATGATACCTTTGTGATTTTTTCAAATGTGAGATCACAATTTTTTCTTTGTGCTTCAATATGTAGAGAAAGTATGTATGGACAGATATTACATTATAATAGTGTCAATAGGACTCAAAAAATGAAGAATGATTTGATCTATCTTATGATTAAAAATGTTATTTAAATGTTGTGAAAGGGCAAGGATGTATGGGTGGCCAAACACATATGTATTCACAAAAGCCTTGGGAGAGATGGTTTTGGGGGAGTTTAAAGAAGATTTGCCAGTTGTTATTATACGTCCAACCATTATTACTGGCACATACAAAGAGCCTTTCCCTGGATGGGTTGAAGGGATCAGGTACACACTTCTATAGATTAACTTTAATTCATTTTTTAATAAGAAAGGAGTCAAATAATTTCTTATACTTTAAAATTTTGAATTTTAAAATATTACAATAATTTCATCAATTTTTTATTTTTGTGTATATGTGACCAATAACCGAATATCCACCTATAATAACTGTAATAAGTGAGGAAAATGGGAGATCGGCAATCAGTCATCAATCACCTACTTCTTCTTCATTGGAGAAGGTAGGTAATAACATGCCCGTGACTTCTCCAAAGAAGAAGGTGATCAGCAACCGTTTGTCGATGGCCCCGACCCTGACCTTCATTCTACTTCTTCGAAGGCAATCGGCCACCGTACCATTTCTTTTATGACGGCTGATTTTCATCACCAGAGCCCTAATTACTGGTTATTACTAGCGAATAATTGATTTTTTGGTTAAGATAGGGCACAAAAATGACAAGTTGATGCTTATAAGTTATAATTATATCTTTTAAAAATTTATAAACTCAATTTTATTATTATTTTTTATATAAAGTTTAAGCACTTATTTGATCATTTTCCTTTTTCTGTTTAATTCTTAGATTGTGCATGCATGTTTACCTAACACCTTTCTATAATCAGCTAATGCTATCATCTAGTCAAATCCACTAACTCAATCAGCTAACAGCTATTTACCAAACATCTCCATTATCTTTGTGCGCTATACATGTGCAGAACAATTGATAGCTTGGGACTTGGTTATGGTAAAGGAAAACTAACATGCTTCCTTGGTGATCCTAAAACCATTACAGATGTGGTAAGTAGTATTACACGCCGAATCGAATGATACATTTTATCTGTTCTTAATTAAAAGTTTGAACTAATAGTAACCGGGATTCTACATATTTTAGATTCCAGCTGATATGGTGGTGAACGTGATGATAGTAGCAATGGTGGCTCACGCCGATGAACGAGGCAGCGGTGAGAGCATATACCACGTGGGATCGTCGGTGTCGAACCCGATCGAGTTCTCGCGCATCCAAGACTTCGGCTACCGTTACTTCACACGGCACCCATGGATCGGAAAAGATGGAAAGGCGGTGAGAGTTGGGAAGGTGACTGTGTTAAGCAGTATGGCTAGTTTTCAACGATACATGACCATCCGTTACTTGCTCCCTTTGAAGGTATGTAACAACTTTTTTGATGAATATTTTTAAACTTAAATTAGTATTGTTATTGTTTATGCATTTTATTATTTTTATAGTGTTGTATGATGTTAGACTAGTAAAAGTACTTAGGGAATTTAGGATTTAATTTGAATAATGGTGACAATGAAATTAGAATATTATTTGTTAGAATATTAGTTTAGTATATTAGAATACTAGTAATTCACCCGCGCGATGCACAGGAAAAAATTATGTTATTATAAATATAAATAAAAATAGAAAAAGTAAAATATTTTAAATTATTTAATATAATAATATTTTTGAGCTTCCACTGGTCAAGTATTTATTATTTTTATAGAATACAAAATTACAATTAAAATTAAAATTAATATTAAAATTATAATTTTGTATGGTTAATATAATCTCTAATTATGACATTATGTGCATATTCAAATAAACTTATAGAGAGAATTTACATAATTACATTGTTTTATTCTTAATTGTATTTCATCTATATTATAATTTTCACAATACGAATAATAACTAAGATAATTACATTTGGAAAGCAAATTTCAAATTTTGTATGTGTAAATTTAAACTCTAATTGAGCACATTTTTTATATGATTATATAATATATATAGCTATTTTATTTTTCAAAAGTTTTTTTATATGATTATATAATATATAGCTATTTTATTTTTTAAATGTTGTGCTTTTTTTTTTTTTTTATATAATAAAAGATGTTGTGGCATTAATTGTAACATTAATTATTTCCCAAACCATATAGCTTTATTATATAATAAAGGATTACTATATGTTAGATAATAGAGACTTAAAAAATTAGAATGTATTTGCAAAAAAAAAAAATAAAAATGATAGGCTTGCCCACCCAGCTATGGGCCTTTAAGGGAGCAAGTCGGGCCAATCAAATCTAGGCCCACTAAGTAGCAAGCCTTAAAATTGGCAAATTATGCTGTGGAAACGTGCCTACTTTGTAAAGCGGGCATGATTTCAGATTCATAATTTAAATACTGTAATTTATAAATTTTTTATAAAAAAAATATTTTTCACTTGTCGTTAACAGCTTTTTTCTTTTCGCAATCACATTGTTTCGTCTTCAGTAAGAATCGACAGTGTAGAAATTATGAATCTACAATATAGAAATTATGAATCTACAGTATTAGGTTTGTGAACATGTGATAGAGCTATATGTTCATAATTTTTTTATATTCCCAATTGTTGAACTCTGTATTCACAAATTACAGAACTATATGTTCATAATTTGATAACTATATAGTTTAGAAATTATGAATCTGCATTATAGAAATTATGAATCTGCAGTATAGAAATTATGAATCTACTGTATTTAAATTATGAATCTACGGTATAGAAATTATGAATCTACTGTATTTAAATTATGAATCTACGATATAGAAATTATGAATTTACAGTTTAAAAATTATGAATCTACAGTATAGAAATTATGAATCATGAACCGTGCCTACCTTGCAAGGTAGGCATGGTTCCACAGCATAACGTTCCCTTAAAATTCTATATAAGTTCACATAAAATAACTAAGAATGAAAATCACTAAACGTTAGAAGCTCAGTGGAGGCGATATTGACTCTTTGTGTTTCAATAGGTTGAGGAAGTAGTTATGAACAGATACTGCATTGTTATAGAGTCGGCAGTACTCAAAAAAAAAAAAAAAAAAGAATTAGAGGCTATAATTTTAAGTCTAGCATCAATTTTAAATGGAGTAAAAGACATTTTTTGTCCTAGACTTATAGTGGCACGGACAATTTTAGTCCTTCATAAAAAATTTAGACAATTTATGGACACACTTATTGTGGCAAAGACAATTTTGGTCCTCCGTCTGCATTTCCGTTAGAAGACTGTTTGAGAGAAAGGTATTTGCGTCATTTCATGATTTTTGTTCCACTTTATTCCATCTATGCGTTATTCCATCTTATAGACTTTTACACCGCCTACATTTTCCCCTCTTCCGCCCTAGACGATTCGTCGGACCACCACCTCCTCCCTCACTCCGCCGAGACCACCTCTTCCCCTGCCGACAACTACTTCTTCAACCCCCACTCCTCCACCAACTTCACCCACGACCTTTGCGTCCCAGTAAGTACTCTCTGCGATGAAACACACAAGAGTTTGAAAAACGATGTGGATCTTCTTGACGACGGCGATGGTGGAGGCGGAGCCGGAAAGGTGTCGGCAGCGGAGGGCAATGTTTTCAAACAGAGGGACCATAGCTAGGAATGAAGCACCTCCACGTATTATTCTTATTGCTGCTCTGAATCCTTATCAGAACCGATGGACTATAAAGGCCAGGGTAACTGCAAAAGGAGAACTTAGACACTACAATAGTGCCCGAGGTGATGGTAAAGTATTCTCTTTTGATCTTCTTGATTCAGATGGTGGGGAAATAAGGGTAACATGCTTTAATGCAGTGGCTGGCCAATTTTACAACCAGATTGAACCAAATAAAGTATATTTGATTTCAAAAGGTAATGTGATTATCGATACATTCTTCAATTCCAGATTCAGGATCATACTGGCTTGAGTTGGGTAACTGCATTCTAGGAATGTGGTGAGGAGATCATGGGAATGCCTGCGAAAGATTTGCATTACATGAAAAATGAAGAACAAGATGACGAGAAATTTCAAGAAGTTATGCGAAATGTTCTTTTTAAGAAGTATATTTTCAAATTGAAGGTCAAAGAGGAAATGTTCAGTGATGAGGTGCGTGTAAAGTCTACTGCAGTAAAAGTGGAGAAGGTTAATCCCCAATCAGAGACCAACATGATTGATAAGCTCAAAGCAGAGGAATTGAGGGTGTGTTTGGTTGGTGGGTTTTGCACATAGGAATGGGTATGAAAGTGATTGTTGTTGTTTGGTTGATAGGTTTTTAGAACACTACTATGGGTTTCGAATACCCCATTAATTGAAAAATCCATACCCAAATAAAATAAGGGTTTCATTCCCTTATTCATTCTCAAGCACTACTATTAGTAACCATTCCCATTCCACCCTACTACCAAACATGTTAAATACTTTCACCAAAACTCATTACCATTACCAAGTATTTGATACCCATTCCAATTCCGATTCCTATGTGCGAACCAAACACACCCTGAATTCTGTTGCTCCAAATGCTAAGAATGTAGCTCCAAGCTCAGGACTGAACAATACTGCATTTGGAAGTGGACTTAGAGAAGCGGGGTAATGTTATGAATTATGGCAGCAGTGATGGAACTATTGGAAGCAGAGTGCAGACAAGTCAAGCCGGTCCATATGGGAATCGATATGGTGGTTCTGGGCAAGCACCGGCTAGTTCCCACATGTGCACAAACTGTAACAGTTGTGGTGGTATGGGACATAACTCTGTGAACTGTCCTAATGTCACGAGGAATCAAGGTCAGGCATATGGAGGCGGTGGCTTCAAGAGTAGAGTAGGTTCTGGGACAAGTGCCGGTGGTGGTGCTTCTGAATTAAATGTTTCTGGTGACAACTATTAGTATAGAAGTTCTAAGATAGAAGAAGAATATGCAAAGTGGGTGTGTGGCAATACCCTCCTCTTTGCAATGAAGAACAAAACTGAAAAGATGGAATAAAGAGGAGGAGATATCATGAAATGACGTAAATACTCCTTTCTTAAACAGTCATGTAACGGAAATGCAGACGGAGGACCAAAATTGTCTTATGGAGGACTAAAATTGTCCGTGTCACTATAAGTCTAGGACCAAAAATGTCTTTTTACTCATTTTAAATGTTTGAATTAGGCTAACTTTAAAGCATCTAAGGGATACATATTGAATGCTCTCTTACATATTTATAGGTGTTGAAAGCCCATCTTAACAATCACTTAGCAAATTAAGTTTTCGTATAGACCATGTAAACCTTTTGATTTAGTGTTCCGACGCCATTTTATTATTATTTTTTTCCCTCAAGACACGTAAACGTAAACACATTAATGCATGCAAACTACCTTAAATTAGCTTTTGACATTGATAATAAATATGTTTTAATATGTAGGGTTTGGGAATAGTCAATACAGCATTTTGCAAGTATTTCCAGACAACATACAATGAGATGAACCTCAAAATCAAGTTTCTAATGAGGCTTGTAGACCTTTATGGACCATACTTATTCTTCAAGGGGGTGTAAGTACTTAATTAATTCCTTCTTTATTTTACATTAATTTATTCAATAAAATAATCGCAACTATATTCCTATCACCCCAAACGTCTCTTTTGAGTTTAATGTAAAATTTTGATAAACTTATTATATAAGCTAGACTTGTTTGGTAGCTAACTTTGAGTTGTGTACACAGATTTGATGACATGAACACAGAAAAGCTGTGGAGAGCAGCAAAAAGAGGAGGCATTGAAACTGATATCTTCTATTTTGATCCAAAAGTCATCAATTGGGATGATTATTTCCTGAAAGATCACATTCCTGGAGTTATAAAGCGCAATTACAAGTAATTAATTAATTAATGAAGCTGCATAAATATTGTTTAATTTCAGAAACTTGAAATTATGGGCTAATTAACTTTATTATGGGAGGGACATAATCATAGATTTTATAAATCTCTGTCTGTCGTCCAAGAATGAAGTTAGCAGAAAGTAATCCAGCTGCATTCCGTTATTTTAGACAATCTTAAAACGTGTTATGATCAGTGAATGGAGATATTGATGTTCAATTCCATTATCATCAGTTTTTAATTTGTTGTATTCTCCTGGATTAATTCACAATTAAATGGATTGTTTGTGCATTTTTTTTTTTTTTGAATGCGTTTGTGCATTTAGTATAAGTTACATTTTTATTTTTTGGATTGATGGGGAAGGGCCGGGAGATCCTAAGAGCGCGTTTGGTGGTTAGGAAATTAAAGTTTAAACTTTCCAGGGAACTTAAAAGGTAGAAATAAATTATTTTTACGTAGTCACGTTTGGTGCAATATTTGACTTAAGAAAGTTCGGGTCAAGGAATCACATTTTATGATATCAAAAAAAGTAAATCACACCTAAGAGAAGTATAATTCTTTTTTCCCAAGTAACTGAGAATCTACTAAATTTATTTAATTACGTATTTATCTTTTTTGACGTCATGTTAAAATTCTCTTATAAATATAAGAAATTTGTCTTTCCACCATTACACATTGTTTATCAAACAAATTTGCATTCATGTACCTAGTTAAAGTTTTCATAATATAATTTACAATATGATTCATTAAGTGTATATATATATATATATATATATATATATATATATATATATATGTATGATACGCGTCAGTATCGAAGAACTTTTCGAGAAAGTTCAAGCTCCACTTTGCGACTTCGAGTGCATGAGAACTCCAAATTTGATTAATAAAATCAAGGAAAAAGAGTCAAATTGGCCCCCCTAAGTCGAATGGATAGTGCAATTGGGTCCCCTAATTAAAAAAATTCCATTCAGATTCCCTAAACCTGTAAAATTGTTCAATTAAGTCCAAACTTGTTTAACAAGTTAAATCTTCACATGGTCGACACGTGTCTTTTTAAAATATTTTGTATTTTTGTTTTTTTATAAATTCTATATATATATATATATATATATATATATATATATATATATATATATATATATATATATATATATATATATATATATATATATATATATAGGCGGGTTCAGGTGCGGCAGTGTCTTACGGTGCGGTTATTTCTTACGGTGCGGCAACACCAATAGTTCACCAAATATGCACCATCAACGTTAGGAAATACACCACACAAAACAGAGTAAACAGAGCCCTGCATCACCAAACACACACCATTAGGTGTGAGTAAAAACACCATACACTGTTCGGAAATACACCATTGGGGGTGGTGAGTTATATGGTGTGTTTTTTTGAGTCTGTGGTGTATTTTGTGATGTTTTATTACATTTCATTGGGGTGTGTTTTTATTACACTGTTGGTGCATATTGTTAACACTGTTGGTGTATTCTGGAATTTGACCGCACCGCCGCACCGTAAGACCCCGCCGCATATGAGCGCTCTTCTATATATATATATATATATATATATATATATATATAGGGAAGGGATCAGGTGCATTTGTTGCTTCCCGTGCGGTGGATTAATGTGCGTGAGGTTTATACTTAATGTGCGTGAGTGTTATTCTCAATATGCTTGAGATTTGTACTTAATGTGCGTCATGTTAATATGCATGAGTTTTGTACTTAATGTGCCAGAGTATTGTGCTTAATATGCGTGAGATTTGTGCTTAATGTGCGTGAGTAATAAGAGAATTTTCAACAATCTGGAATTGAAGCAAACAACAGAAGTTCCAGATTCTCGCACCAAGATCGGTCTGCATAGACCATTGATAAGGATAGAATTTGTGTATTCACTTTGGGAAGCTTTTATTTCATTGTAAACATCAGTAAAGCAGAGCAACACACTATTATATGTCGTTATTGAAACTTGAAGATTCAAATCTTTCATCTTGGATAAAACAAAAAGAGTATCAGCAACCATCTCAGATGTCGAATAAGCACATGCCAGCATATTCCATACCACATTATGAGCAACCCAATAATCGAAGTTATTCTGAAGCAACTCACAGAGTGCAGGTACTGGGGATGGGGAAGAAGCTGATATCCATATTTTCTGCTGCATTTTACACATTCACGCACATTAAATACAAATCTCAGGCACATTAGACACAACACTCACGCACATTGAGTACAAATCTCACGCACATTAATAACCGCACAACCGCACGGGAACCTTTCAATATATATATATATATATATATATATATATATATATATATATATATATATATATATATATATATATATATATATATATATATATATATATATATATATATATATATATATATATATATATATATATATATATATATATATATATATATATATATATATATATATATATATATATAAAGTTGAAAACATAGCCACCAGAGTTTTGTTTCCATTGAGCAACGAAAAATCTATGGTGGATGGGGTGGTTGGAACGAACTTGAACTGCAGATCCAGTGACCTCTTCTCTCGCCAGCGTTAATGTAGCCAGTTCTGGAGGACAGCGGCAATATATGGATCAAATCCTCGGCGATCTTCCTCCGGCGTAGATGACAACGGGTTCTCCGACCAGTAGCAGCAGCTCCTATCGGCGACCTCCCTACTTGGCAGTTAATCAACAACAATGAGTCACCAACAACAGCAGCTCGGCGGACTCCTCTCTCGTTCGTTGACCTACAGTACCCACTGGCTTAGCAGCTTCTTCCAGGCGAAGGATAGATTGAATCCCCGTCGAGCTTCCTCCGGCGTAGATGGTGACTGCTTCTCCGACCAGCAGCATCAGCTCCTATTGGCGACCTCCCTCTTCGGTAGTTGAGCAGCAATGGGGCGAGTCACCAGCAGCAATAGATCAGCGGACTCCTCCCATGTTTGATCGTCGATATGCAGTACCTGTGGTTGTGTGTTAGGAATATATTGTAATAGATTTTGATATGCCAAATTGTATTTTAGAATCCCCAATTTTATTTGTTAAGTCTAGGCGTGTCATAGACCATGAAAGGAAAATTAACAAATATAGAGAAAGGAAAAAATACAAAGAAGAAGAAGAAGAAGAAGGAGATGTATGCATATGATATGTATACTTAAATAAGCCCACATGCCCCAAATCAAAGAAGAAGTCATACTGATAATCTCATACGAAGAAATGAGAAGCAAACGAGATTGCATGAAGTTACCTTGGAGATCAAGCATCTATGGAAAGATAGAAGTACATCAAGGAATATGCTACAATAACCAATAATCTATACAGGCGAGATGGATGAAAGCTTGATGTATAAATCACAAGATCTCAGGTTTAAAACTTATTCTTTACAATTTTATAAGGCAAAATTAAAGAGGTTTCGTAATTAAATCAAGTTTGAGGTTTCGAAATCAAAAAGCTGAGGTTTGAAAAGAGGTTTCGTAATTAAATCAAGTTTGAGGTTTCGAAATCAATTAAATTCAATTAAATAATAGAACTTGGAGACAAAGTAAGAGTTAAATCAAGTTTGAGGTTTCGAAATCAATTAAATTCAATTAAATAATAGAACTTGGAGACAAAGTAAGAGATGCGGAGTCAAAGTTTTCATAAGTCAAGATGAAGATTCAATTAAATAATAGAACTTGGAGACAAAGTAAGAGATGCGGAGTCAAAGTCTTCATAAGTCAAGATGAAGTATGAGACAAAGTAAGAGATGCTCCGCGGAACTCAGTTTGCAAGTCAAAGAAGTGTAAGAGACTCTCCGCGGAGCTGAAGTAAGAGATGCAATTTACAAGTCAAAGTCTTCATAAGTTGCAGTTTGCAAGTCAAAGTCTTCATAAGTCAAGATGAAGTGACAAAGTAAGAGATGTGGTTCATAAGTTGCAGTTTGCAAGTCAAAGTCTTCATAAGTCAAGATGAAGTGACAAAGTAAGAGATGTGGTTGGAGCTGAAGTAAGAGATGTAGTTTGCAAAGTAAGAGATGCGGTTGGAGCTGAAGTAAGAGATGCAGTTTGCAAGTCAAAGTCTTCATAAGTCAAGATGAAGTATGAGATGAAGTAAGTCAAAGTCTTCATAAGTCAAGATGAAGTATGAGATGAAGTTAGAGATGAAGTTTCAAAGACTATATATAGTAAGAGTTGAAGTTGGAGATGAAGTTTCAAAGACTATATATAGTAAGAGTTGAAGTTGGAGATGAAGTTTCAAAGACTATATATAGTAAGAGCTAAAGTTAGAGATGAAGTTCCAATCAAGGATTGAAATCTCACCACCAGTATGAGACCTAGATCAAGAGATCTCATTGGCCGAAACAACTTCATCAGTAGCCCATACAGAGAGATTAAACAACTTCATCAGTAGCCCATACAGAGAGATTAAACAACTTCATCAATAGCCCATACAGAGAGATTAAAATACACTGAAGATGAAAGTCCCAGAAGGCATGAATCTACATCAGAATTATTTTAAGAAGCACCTTCACGTGAAGACACGATCTGCATCAGAAATATTTTAAGAGTCTCTTCACATGGACCAAGAGCTATGCAACGACTGAAATATCTCAAATGTCAAAGATATCATTTTTAATATGATCTTCTGAGAAAGCTACAGATCTTCTACAAAGGCTACAAGAATTCAAATTTGAGATTTGAAATTCAAATTTGAGATTGTCTTTTTCCAACGGACAACTTCTCAAAACCAGCTATAAAAGGATGAAGATTGAAGTAGATCAATGCACTTCCAACAGAGCTCTGAACGTGAGAAAAGCATACGAAATACAAGTGAGAAATATACAGAGCTAACAAGCTAGATACGAAATATCCAAGTGAGATAAAACACTTAGAAGCTCAAGAGAAAATATTCAAGAGTGTTCAAAATCTTCATCATTGAGAGACTTGCTGTATATTGAAGATCCATTCAAGAAGTCTCAAAGTTGGAAGCCAGTGAAACTTGTTTTTCTACAACCAAGTGATACAGCAGTGTCGGAGACACTGGGCGTGATTAGTGCAGGCTTTGTGATCAAAACACTAGATCACGGGATACGTCGATGACGGGGGAAAGTAACACGGAGTTGTGAAATCCTGGATTGTCACACGGAGCTTTGAGATCCGAAGCAGCAGTGTCGGAGGCACTGGGCGTGATTGGTGTGGGCTTGGTGATCAAAGCACCAGATCACGGGATACGTCGACCGGATCGTGGAAGACGGGGGGAAAGTAGCATGGAGCTGT